AGGTAGACAGATGGGTAGGTGTCTGTATGTAGGGAGGTAGACAGATGGGTGGGTGTCTGTAGGGAGGTAGACATATGGATAGGTGTCTGGATGAAGGGAGGTAGACAGATGGGTGGGTGTATCTGGTTAAAGGGAGGTAGACAGATGGGTAGATGTCTGGATGAAGGGAGGTAGACAGATGGGTAGGTGTCTGTATGTAGGGAGGTAGACAGATGGGTGGGTGTCTGTAGGGAGGTAGACAGATGGATAGGTGTCTGTATGTAGGGAGGTAGACAGATGGGTGGGTGTCTGTAGGGAGGTAGACAGATGGGTGGGTGTATCTGGTTAAAGGGAGGTAGACAGATGGGTAGGTGCGTCTGGATGTATTGAGGCAGGCAGATGGGTAGATGTGTCTGGATTTAGAGAGTTTAAAGAGAATGGACAGATGGGTAGGTGTTTCAGTCTGTATGGAGGTATACACATCTGTGTGTGGGTGCAGGAATGTACTTAATACAGCTTGATGGACAGTTATTGAGTTATCCGAGTGGACTGGTGCCTTTCCTTGTCCTGGAACTGAGCACATACAAAGAAATGCCATTAAACATTTATATGTGGAAGTTGGAAAATATTCCATCAATGCCAGATCACAATAAAGCAGCATTTTATTTACAGAAACATTGCTTAGGGCTGGTAATGTTGAAGGTTTTATAAGAGAATATCCCCGTATAGCCCTCATATGTCATATAATAACTGCAGTAACCGCCATGTGCCATACAATAAATAGCACAGACAACTCCCATTACATCCCAGACACGCCACTTCAGCTGTTTCAAGGTAATATCTATCTTGAAGTCCTCACATTGTGTAACATCGATGCTTTTTACCGACTGACACGCATTACACTGATCAACCAAGCTTGTCTTTCTTAAATTGTAAATAGTTACAGGCGAGTGGCACAATGTATCTATCTGTACATGTTTTTATTCCAACATGGTGTGTATAGTATCTTGTGATTGGTTGGTTTGTTGTTTGACGCTAATATAGTGAGTGAGTTTAGTTTTACGCCGCAATATTCCAGCTATATGGTGACGGTCTGTAAATAATCGAGTCTGAACCAGAAAATCCAGTGATCAACAACATGAGCATCGATCTACGCAATTGGGATACGATGACATGTGTCAACCACGTCAGCGAGCATGACCACACGATCCCGTTAGTCGCCTCTTACGACAAGCATGGATTGCTGAAGACCAATTCTAACCCGGATATTCACGGGTCCTAACTTGTGCTGTATCGTAACTATTCCCCATTTCTTAATGTAGGAAAGTCATCGTTATTATTTCTAACAGTCTCACCATGTGTCGTTTATGGTGTTAGACGTTTTGTGGCTTTCAATAGTTATGCATGTTTAAACGTGTCCCCTCTATATGAAACATGCAGCATATGTCACCATTACCTGGTTATTGACATTGCTGGAAGCGGTTTTGTTTTGCATATTATTACCGTCATCTTGTTTAAAAAAACAACTGATGTGATGATGATGATGATGATGATGATGATGATGATGATGATGATGATGGTGATTTTGATGATGATGATGATGATGAAAGTGGTGATTTTGGTGATGATAGCGGGGTTTTATGGTGTTTTTATGTCCATGATAGTGATGTTGATGATGATGAATGATATGTCGAAATGATGATGATGATGAAGATGAAAGTGATGATGATGATGATGATGATGATGATGATGATGATGATGATGATGATGATGATGATGAAGATGATGATGATTAACATCATTACACTGTGGTATGTGATATATTTCATATCCCCCTGTTTGTCCATGATATATGACCCAGTTCATTGTATCCCAACACACTGGACCTGACACCGATTAAGTCAGACCCGCCCTGGGTCTATGATCAGTCTAGATATCTATATTGATATCAGTATTAAACATCAACGAAGGAAATCCACACGGTAGTAACCAACCTGTCACATTTGGTTAATCTGAACATGTCACATTCGGTATGAAAAAGTCTGCGCCATGTTTTACAAATGCAGGTATAATTATGTGTATCTCTATACACTATGTGGTAAATTATTGTGACGGTAGTGTTTTTGGAAACGACGTCTGAAGGCCTTTTTAAATGTTTCAAAACTTTAAAGTAGGTGTATGGAGAAAATTTCGAAATTTGACGCACAGGAAAACAAAATTATTTCTGATGCAATTCTTTATTTAGTTTTGTATCATAATCATGTTCTTGTATTTGATAAGGGGAATATTTCCTTGCATTTGCATGTGTTTTGACGGGTCAGACGAGTGGGGCAGGATACGCTCACATTTTCTCGAACACCTGGTATCATCAGTAACCGACAGTGATTCCTAAACACGCTCTCATGATAAAGTCAGAATCGTACAATCGCTGCCAACGTAAAAGGCCCGTTACATATACAGCTATAATGCTGCTGAATGCGGCGTCAAACAAACACATACTGGTTTATTCAGAATTATACAATTGTAGATTTCTTATGAATGTAGAAAAGTTATTTACTTCATCAAAAAAACGGATAATTTACGGTTATTCATTCGACGTCCGTGTCAATAGAATGGGCGCCATGGTGAATATCTTGAAGTTCTTTCATAGAATTGACAACTTTAGAAGAGTTACAAAGATTGCATTTAACTGTAAGGCGTGTCACAAGCGTGTTACATCATCAACACGGTGAAAATCACACCCCGGCACCCAAACACTGCTACCCAGTGTACAGGATAAGTCTCCCCCGGGCTTCCCTTTCGAACCCTCCTGCGCTCTCTCACAGCACTACACAGGGGGCAGGCAGAGCGTCCCTCCCGAACCCTCCTACACTCTCTCACAGCGCTACACCGGGGGGCAGATTGACGGCGTGTACCTGTTGTCGGCTATCGATGTGGAGAAACAGGTTGTAGGGACGGGTTCACCTCGCTCCACGACCTGAATAACTCACCAGGCGGGAGACAGGGAAGAATCACCTTGACGATCAGGACAGGAGAATTGCGCATTTGTGCATATTGTGACCCCTTGTTACGATTTGTTTGAATTCGCTTATAACATGAACTCATGCTACGTGGTTTAAGAATGAATCTTATCAGAGCAGGTTATTTGTTACGGAAGATAACACCTGTCAATTTTCAGTAAACGATGAGTTATTGAGAAACTGAGACACTGTTTCTCTGCAATAAGGTTAGCATGTTTAAACTCTGAGCAGCAAGGTTACAAAGTGATCTTTGAAGATCGGCGGACATCATAAACTAGAGATAGCAAATTGCTAAGATAGTTGTGATCTAACATTGAACGTGATCGGGCGGAGATATTTTCCAGGTATATTCCCCCTTTGATGGTGGTTAAAGGGGGCTCAACGGGACGGTCAAGATTATTGTACTTTCTATAGCGACATACATGCGCGTGACTGCTTATAACTGTTCTGGACTTATGTCGGTTCCATAAGACTAGTCTACTGAGATATCATAATATAGTTTAGCTGCTAGCAAATTTAATGCAACATTAGGGCTGACTGCATCTTTTCCTGCTTGTTGTCGAGCATCAATCTTGAAATCAACAAATGCAAACTTTGAACGTGTTTTATATGAAGCACCAGGGGATCAACCACAGACCTTTCTCTCTCCTGGAAGAGGCTCTACCCACTACCCCACGGATGCGGTCCATCCACTGTGATGGATCTCATGTAGACGAGTTCTTGAAGAACAAAGATGACTCCTTGTCTGTGATGGTTATGTGGTACACATATAGTTTCCATGGTAAAGGGGCGGCGGGGTAGCCTAGTGGTCAAAGCGTTCGCTCGTCACACCGATGACCCGGGTTCGAATCCCCACATGGGTACAATGTGTGAAGCCCATTTATGGTGTTCCCCGCCGTGATGTTGCTGGAATATTGCTAAAAGCGGCGTAAATCCAAAAAAAGTCAGTCAGTCCATGGTAAAGTACACGACGACATGATACCCAGACCAATTTACTATTGTCACTAGGCAACCAGGGTCGGAGATAATCATATCCATAATTATTGATTTCATATGTTTTCGGATACTAATGACTAATTATGAATCCGATCTCCACTAACTACAGCGCAGTTTTATACGAAACACGCGTCGTGGAATTATATCGTGTTCTTGATTCCCGTATTTTAATCATATTCCTACTTTTATATGGAACCAGGATATTAAGACATTATTGAAATATCACTTAAGGCTTTACTCAAATATCACTTTTTGATAAGAAAACGTTTTTACTGGATTGGAACAGACGAATGACTCATTCTTAACAATGGCATAAATATACATCAGCTGTATGTACAAGGGTGAAATGGGGTTGTGTGGTAAGGTAGGTATTTTCAAGAGGGTGCTGAGTTCCATTCCCGCAGAATATTCTTGTAATTCAATCACTGGTTGCCCTCACGGTCGTGGTGCAAGTTATGACCGAGGTGTGTCTCTGACTAACTCTGTTGGCAGCCATTAGTAACTTGATCTATAATAGTAACAATACCCTATTGTCCCCCAGGTCGAGACCCATGGCTAATGACGAAGTTATATGCTATTACTGAAACAAGAGATTAGGATTATTGTTCATTAATCCTTATTCACAATGTTATGTCAGACGAGCGTGGTGTAGTAAATGTTGACCTTCTCCAACTTTCTTACAGTAAAAGATGGTTTAGGTTAAACCTCTGATCAGTGACAATTCTTCCATATTCTTTTGATCATTTCGAATCGTCACATATACAAGTACAGTTTATACCTAATCAACTTTATTTATATAAACAATAAAGTAATCATGCTAATTTCGAGTCAAACTCGCTTTTGTTATTAACGAACCGTTCAACAATGTAAAACAGCTGATTAGTCAGCTTAAGAGGAAACGAAGCTAATTAATATTCAAAGGGAGACAACTGCTATTAGACGGAATAGGAGCTCTCCCTATCGATGCCCACTGCGCTGATCTGATTGGCTGAACACCGGGTATTTGTTCAAAACACTGTTCGTGCGACCCCATGCTTTTTTACGTGACAATACTCCACGAAAGTTTTCATGGCTGCCAACTTGTTGAATGAGTATCACTCTGACATTATGTAGCCAGCAAGAGGATATGTTGGGACGATTTAAACGCTTGATTAATCACCAAGACTCTCACAGGGTAGCCGGAGTACTTGACCCAGTGAAAGTCCACAGTGAACAGGACTTAGACGTCTAAGACGTTGACAGCTGGAGCAAATCCGTGACTTGCATAGGATGTGAATAATCTCAGGAGAAATAACCAACATGACACACCTGATTTCCCAGTCTGACTACAGGATTTATCGCACAGTGAGATACAACCTTACAACCAGGACATATCGTTGAAGGTAAAAGATAAGGAACAGTGCCTGCTGATCATAAACCCGGTATTTATCATAGGTTGGAATGGGTATAAATATTTCGCCAGGTTACGATTATATTTACGGTCACCTTTCGGTATCAATATCACGTGTTGTCTCTGCTTAATGTGAGCTGTGTTTTACATTATTGATCTTATGACTGTGTAAATATATGTTGACATCCAAGAGGAATACGAGCAATGTTTCTGTATCCTTGTTTAGAGTGGCTCGTCCTTGGTGTGTGTTAACGTGTGTGACATGTTTTCATTGTTGTTCGAGTATTATTGAAGGTGTTAAGGGCTTTAGCTTAAGTGAATGCTTCTATTTACCTTTGACAAGTTTACGAGACCTTGTTATTTATGCTTCTTGATATTTAATTTTTATGATGCCACTGTATTATACATTGAGGGGAAATGTCAAACCTGTGTCCACATTGAAGCTGCCCAAGTTGTGTTGCTTTATTTTCGTATTTCGTTACTGGGGTATTGTACCGTAACAGGTTTGAGAGACCCCCTGCCTTGACATTGTATGATATTTCATCCTTCAGCAAGGCTTGCCTATGTAACTGTTACATGGGTCCCGAGCTGGTCACTAATGAACTCTCTCATATTTTCAGGCAAGGATTTACAGATCTCGGGAGAGTTTTTCTTGGCCTGCCACAGAAGCTTAAGGAAACGGTGAAATAGTGGACATTTTTCAGCCGCAAACGCTTGGCAAAACGACAGTCGCAACAATAGCTGAGTCTTATACTATTGAGATACGGATGTCTGCGTTTGTTCGACTGGGATACTCTGTGGCAGAGGCCAATCGTGACCTCTAGGTATTGAGCTGGCTTAACCCGAAAAAGGGAGGGAGCAAGGAGACCACCCCAGCCCCCTCCTCTTGGGAGTAATCAGGGCTATACTCTTCTACCTTTTCTTTTGGACACATACACGTCTGTTGCAAACACAGACGAACCGGGACCTATTTGCTTGATTGCCTGAAACTGAAATATTCTGCGGTGTTTCATCTGAATGGTTGCTTTGATGTGGACATACCTCGAGTGTCGATCTGTGGATTCCATGTGTTACTGAACGATTAGGAATACTCTCAAAATAATTACGTAACCTTTACATCTTTTGATGTCAGCTTAATTGGAACTTTATTCAATACTCAGGTACCTGTGAGAGACAGCAAAACACCGAATAACAGATTTTACTGTGAGAGAAGCTTCTGTGGATAGGCAGTGTGCTGCCAGTACATTAAACGCTACAACAGTTGTAAAGGATATCACGTATACCAGCGAGGGCGCTATCGGATTTACCTGTGAAGCCCAGGCGACTATGCATGAATGAGATGAAGTTTACTCAGGTATGTGTCCACAAAGACATTGATTTTTTTCAAAGAAACAAATTACATGCATTATTTTATACATGTGGTATAGACGTGAATTTTCTGAAAAAGCGTATATGCATTGCCTTTAATGACCATAATCTACCAAAGGTGATAGGGGTAATGCTAAATTATTACATATTGAGCCCCATTCATTAAAAGAGTTATATACTAGTCGAGAAAATAAAGAATGAGCCCCATTCATTAAAAGAGTTATATACTAGTCGAAATAAGTTAAAGAACATCCAGTATTTTGTGTAAATATAGTCTTTGTGATTACTGTTAACTTTTGTTATGTGAAAAGAATCCGGTGTTCTTGAACGTCTCTTGAGTGATATTTATCACGTATTCATGCACTAAACTGAGTATATATTATTGTCCAGGGTGCCGTTGTACAAAACAACCTTAGCGCTAAGATTACCTTAAGTGTATGTTAAGGTATGGGAGTTACGGTCACCTTAGCGCTAATTTAGCTTTGTACAACGGCACTCAGAACACCAGAACCCACCTTCCATTCCAGTCTATTCACATATGGGCTGGGTGGCATTGAGTCTACTATGTATCCGTACGTGTATTAATACTACCTAATAATACACGTGAGATTTCATCGAACATTTCTTTTTGTAATGTAAACGTTAGCTAGAAGCCTTTTACGTTCTGACTGAAAAAGGCTACCCATCTGCGGGCATGTAACGTATATAGAGTTTTGTCTAAGGGATTCAAATACATTTAACTCTACATGTAGACACAGCCAGTCCGTTCCAATATAACCGTGTGTTAACCACGCAGCCCTTTGACATGCTATGCCATTATAAACCTTTCTTGTAAAAAAGTTAAGACTCGTGTACTACGTCAAATGTTACACACAAAAAGGGCTGTTAGCGTATCATATTTACACATGCACGTTGTGTTACACTATATTGCCCGGTCATTTCAAGGTATGCTGTGACAAAACCGAAAGAATTGCAGTGTATGTACAAGGTCGTTGATGATGCTGTGTGTGGTGCTATGATATTGATGACGTTAACAGTCTCCCCTAGGATGAACCCCTTGACCATTGTCACCGAATCGTGAAGTATAAAACGTGCCTGATTCTTTGAATCATTTATGTGAAGGATTAGAAACACCGAACAAGGACAGTGGGCAGTATACGAACCATGACTGATGCCTGGGATATAGTGAATGTTTTGACCCATGGGTATTGGCGGTGTATGGTTCTGAACTTGAGTTAGTGGGTGAGTTTAGTTTTACGCTGCACTCAGCAATATTCCAGCTATATGGCGGTGGTCTGTAAATAGACAGACAATCTACAATCCAGTGATCAACAGCATGAGCATCGATCTGCGCAATTTGGAACCGATGACATGTGTCAACCAAGCCAGCGAGCCTGACCACCCGATCCCGTTAGTCGCCTCTTACGACAAGCATGGGTTACTGAAGGCTCATTCTAACCCGGACCTTCACGGGTTCTGAACTTGAGGTTATGGACAGAAGAAAACTAAAAACCAGAACAACACAGTATCTGCTGTTAACTGAGCTAAAGATGGGGAGAAAAGGATTTAATATTTGTCATAAAACACTTGGGGTTAAATGTTTCATTTACTGACAAATTGTACGTACCTGCCATTACAGTCTGGTTGGTCACAACTATGATGTGTGTTTAGTGACGTGGGTTGTGGGTAAATTAATAACTTTCTTTCACGTATCAGGTAAATTTACGAATAACAGGAGTTAGATGAAGGTCGCCACATTTACTTGCCGTGTATACTTAGCATTCAAATCAAAACGCATCATGTTGTGTTTGATGTAATTTTAATTTGTCTGCAATATAATAGATAACTTTTACAAGAACTTTGACATTTCTTATCATTATGACTGTCGAATGTAAATATGAATGTAAATAAACTATAAGTCACAATTCATCATGTATGCATATCCAAATGTTTGAATGATATATGCAAGTACATGTATGCATATCCGAAGGTAAACATCACTCAGTGGTACACCCATGAATTCTTAGGCTCACTAGAACACTTGAACAATGACCAATCTTGAACACTATGACCAATCTTAGGCTCACTAGAACACTCATGACCATTCTTAGGTATTACTCATGACCAATCTTAGGTAAACACCACTGACCAATCTTGGTACACCAATGAACTATTCTTAGGCTCACTAAAACACTCATGAACCATTTTAGGCTCACTAGAACACTCTCACTAGGCTCAATTTTACTCACTAGAACACTCATGAACAATTTTAGGCTCACTAGAACACTCATGACCAATCTTAGGCTCACTAGAACACTCATGACCAATCTTAGGCTCACTAGAACACTCATGACCAATCTTAGGCACTAGAACTCACTCATGAACAATCTTAGGCTCACTAGAACACTCATGAACAATCTTAGGCTCACTAGAACACTCATGATGAACTTAGGCTCACTAGAACACTCTAGACCAACTTAGGCTCACTAGAACACCTCATGAACATTCTTAGGCTCACTAGCGGAACATTCTTAGGCCCATAGAACACTCATATTCTTAGGCTCACTAGCTCACTAGACCAACTTACTAGAACACCATGACCAATCTTAGGGCTCACTCAGAACACTATGAACATTCTTAGGCTCACTAGAACACTCATGAGCTCACCAGAACACTCATGAACAATTTTAGTTTAGTTTTACGCCGCACTTAGGCTCAGCAATATTCCAGCTATATGGCGGCTTAGGCTCACTAGAACACTAGAACACCCATGACATTATTAGGCTCACTTGAACACATTAGAATGTGTAAGATTTATCATAACATATGATCGTGAATATCGTTAGACCAACACAAAATATCTGAACACTTTGATATTTGATATGATATATTTACTCATTATGTTCAGGTGCAAACGTATAGCATAAATTTGTAGGGTATGTGAAAACTTGAATCTTATATTACCATCAGAATATGTATATATAACTAATCATGAATTCAACATACACGAAGCCTTGGGATACACTCCTGAATCCCTGACCTAGCCCCAAACTCTTGCCGTTCCCACGACAGCCCAGCATAAGGCTTTCAGAGGGAAATGCACTGTACAATCTCCCTCATTGCATTCGCACCGTCCTCCGTGACAATAGCGAGCCACACCGCAGCTTGGGGAACTAATAAAACACTTCAATAGGGTAGCAAACCTCAAAGGCTGGACAAATAGCTTTCCTATTCATAAGTCTCATGCTGGGACTCAATATTAATAGGTAGTAAATGTGCTTGTCTGGCAGTACATATCGCTGCATACCGCTTTAACAGAAGCTTCAGAAACAACTGACACATTCTTTGTGAGCTATGTTGATCCGTTGAGGTTCGTCTATAAACATAAGTATCTATACGTGTGTGTGTTTGTGTGTGTTTTTTGTGTGTGTGTGTGTGTGTGTGTGTGTGTGCGCGCGCGCTCGCGGGCGGCTACCTGTGTGAGTGCGTGTGTGCGTGTGTGTGTATAATGATGATGTTAGATTGATAAACGTTTTTCATTTTTTTATGAAGGAGTAAGGATATACTCCTAAACGTTGTGCTCCTCATAATAAAGATGTCGACATCCATAAAAACTCTCTTCTTTACTGTTAACGCTTTTGCAAGCAGTTTGCAATCAATGTCCTCGTCGTCCGCACTGACTCCTATCCTGTGTCTGTACGCTAAACCTGGAGTCTTCACTGTTACGTGATCGATGCATATACTTTTCACCGATATTAACATTTCCATAGCTATTTTGCCCTGAATACCAAAAAGAATCCGTTTCTCAGGATAGTCAAAACTCAGTACTCTTTAACACTGACAGAATTTATTTAGGCCCCACAGAATCAGTTCCTGGGAATATTTTAGACTGTTTATTCTCTGGAATTGGTGTTTTAAATTTGCGGAGATATATTACACAGGATAGGGACAAATGTTGAAATTGAAAATAACATTGTGTCAAATATTTGTAATAATTCCAAAGTAGCACATAATTTTCGTTCACTAGAATTATTTGTTGTGTACAAATGTGGTTTAATGGCCTATAGTGTTGTCATTAAACTGACGACAGCATTATTGGTCTGGCCGTCAGAAAAAACGAAAAATCAAGAAGCAGAAAATAATCAACATGGGTTGTTGACAGAGGCCATTTTGAAATGAGCACAGAGAGAGGTTAAGTCAACAGAATGTCAGATATTAACACCCTTTGATGGCAAGCATAAATCCAGTGTGATAATCAAATGAGATTAATGTCAATATTTACTTTGTCAGCAAGATGGACTCCTAGACTGAGAAGGAATTAGGCACGTTGATGTTAGTATGGTGATAATACGTAAGGCTTATATGAAGATGGAAAGTTTAGCAAGTAGGAAGAATGACATGCCTACCTAAAGCATCCGCTATCATATTTGATTTCACACATATCAAAACAATTTATCCTACTGACTCAAGACCCAGATCACGATGTGGCTGACGAATATCTAAGTATCCTAACGAATATCTAAAAGTCAGGGTTGATGGAGCACTGTATGATCCGATGATGCAATACTGAGTTTGTAGTGAGTGAGTTTGTTTGGTTTTACGCAGCCTTTAACAATATTCCAGCACTATCACAGCAAGGGGCACCAGAAATGGGCTTCACACATTGTACCCATGTGGGGACTGAATTTGTAGAAAGATAATTGCAATCATCAACTTCACTGAATGTTTCGAAAATTATACACGATTCACACTTTTTAAATCCAGTTTTGAATTACATATGTAATTAAACATCTATTTTGTTTGTTGCTTTAAGATATCAATATGCCAGGGTGTTATGTATTATGTCACAACCCCAGTGTCGGCGATGAAATGTAGTTTTAATTATTTTAATGTATTTTAGCTGATGTGAGAAAATCTGTATGTGACATTTCTCAGCAATTGACAATACAATGTCATAGTTAACTGCCTGACTCTTCCACGATGACC